TTGACTAACACCTTTGTTCTTATTGACAAAAGCTTATATGATCCAAGCATGTTAAAAACCTCAACTCTTTCACATACTCGAGGTGGTATTGTCATCAATCACCAAAAAGGGGGAGATTGAAAGCATCTAGGCCCCTAGTTGGGTTTCGGTGATTAATGACAATACAAGATTACTATGACTAATGTGTGTTTTGCAGAGGCAATTAAGTTATGTCATGGCAATGGAGATCTATTGGGCAATCATGGTGGTCATGCCCCTACGATGGAAATCATTTCGGTTTTCAAAGGACGGACGACGAGGTTAAGGATGACTAGTTCTAAGTGTCGATTGGAGTTGGAGAGACACTTGATGTAGTTTAGGACTTTGTTTTTTCCTTTGGCCGTACTATTAAGGGGGGTATGGACGGGTAGCTGAACCTAGGTGAGTCTAGTGAGTTAGGTGTGGTGCACACTTATCAAAACTAGCGCTAGGTAGCTCCTACATATGCCTAAGATCCTTTGGAGCAAACTTCATTCACCTATGATCGAGAGTTGGAAGTGAATGGAGGGTCAAATACTGACCGGACGCTGGCTTCGGTGTGACCAGACGCTGGCGTAGAGTCCGATCAGTTCATTTGACCGAGAAGAAATCGTTTGGTGTGATCGGACGCTGGAAGGTCAATTGACCGGACGCTGAGAGCCAGCGTCCGGTCATTTCCAGTAAGGTTCGAGAGAGGGAAAATTGTGACCGGACGCGTCTGGTTAGTGCTGACCGGACGGTGGCAGCGTTCGGTCACACTGTAAACACTGGAGTTCGGGGTGTACTGACCGGAGCGTCCGATCACCCCATAGAGGCACATAATGATTCGTTTTTCAGCGCTTGTTATAAAAAGAAGCTCCACTCGTGTGTGGAGTCACTTTTGCTCATTCCAACAGCTGAAACACACCTTAGAGAGTGCCAAGAAGAGCAAGGTCCTAGTGAGGTGATTGAGATTTGAGAATCCCAAAGAGAGCTCTCATTAGTGAGATCAAGAGTAGCAAAGTGTGCGTCCACCCTTCTCCCTAGGCTTCTCGTTGTCAAGTGAGAGTTTGTGCTTGTTACTCTTGGTGATCGCCATCACCTAGACGGCTTGGTGGTGATTGGAGAGCTTGGTGATCATCCGAAGAGCTTGTGGATGACCCAACTCAAGTTGTGAGTGGTTGTGGGTGATTCACCGCGACGGAGTGTCGAAGAATCAACCCGTAGAGAGCACTTGATCCTTGCCCGGATCAAGGGGGAGCAACACCCTTGCACGGGTGCTCCAATGAGGACTAGTGGGGAGTGGCGACTCTCCGATACCTCAGCAAAACATCGCCGTGTTCCTACTTCTCTATTTACTTTGAGCATTTACTTTGAGTATTTCCTTTGAGTAATTACTTTGAGTTTTTACATTGCGCAATTCAATTCTTGTCTTTACAATTCATAGTATTGCCATGCTAGAGTAGGATTGGAACTTAGGTTGCAAGTCATTTGTGCGGTAGAACAACTAGAAACACTTCTTAGGCACAAGGGGTTAATTGGACTAACCGTAGGATTTAATTATTGCAAAGAAATTTAGAATTAGCCCAATTCACCCCCCTCTTGGGCATATTGATCCTTTCAGCGGGGACAGAGCGCACGTGAGACGCACGTGAGTGGTCATGGCGCCTGCTGCATGCGGCGACGGACGTGGACGTGGTCGCTCTGCTCTGTCACCTATACTAGGCTGCCTCCTCGTCTTCTCGCTGCTCTGCCTTTGCACCGTCGTCTGTCGCACGCAGGAGCCGGGGCACGGGCAGCTGCAGCCGCTGCCGGCGTTGGAAGTGGAGACCTACAACTACACATCGTTCCAGGAGGGCAACTCGCAGGAGCAGAAGGAGCTGGCGTTCTAGGAGGAGCAAGGAGCTGGCGTTTAGCAGGGAGGCCCACATCTACCATGGTGCGATCTAGGTCTCCCCGAACACCGGCAACGTCGGCAGCTACCAGGACATCATGGTCAATAAGTCCGGCTCCGTGCTCCTCCAGCGCCGCTTCACCATGTGGCGCCGTGTCGATAATGGCAGTGGCAGTGCCATGGCCCCGCGTGTCCAGGTCGTGTCGTTCAACAGCACCTTCTCCATCAACGTGTTCCACCTCCTGTAACAACCCAGAAAATCCACACACCAAAAATCACAACTACAAAATTTTTTCTCAAGAATCTCATGTGATGATGAGTGTCATGTATAGAAACCCAACCTAAGAGATGCATTAAGTCTAACCCAACCCCAGTCAACATATAAGCATGGCATGTCATTAGATAACTGTGTTTATTAATTTCTAACAAATATAATGTTGCATACATTGTTAATTCAAAATGTGATTTGGATTTCCATTTGAGTTATGATTTGCTAAACAACTCCAATAAAATAATAAACCATAAAGTTATTATTAAACAAAATTCTCTAAACTCCAATGAATAAGTTACCTCAGTTTTGAATTCAAATTCTAAACCAAATTTGAATCCAAACAATGGAAAAGAAATGTAAAACAGAAAAAGGAAAAGAAGAAGTGGGCCTCGCAGCCGGCCGGCCCAACTCGCGTGCAACAGCCCAGCTCGTGGCCCAGCGCGTTGCTCACCTGCACGCCCTTCTTCTTCGCCTGCAGTCGCTGCCCGCTGGACCTCGCGTGTCAGCCGCACACTCGTCTACTGTGTCGTCTTCCTCACCCACGCCTCAACCCCCTACGCGACCGGTGCCCGACAGTGGTGGCAGGGCGGGCCAGGGGTCACGCCTAGGGCATGGCCTTGTCTCCTTGGCTCCACACCCACACAACCCTTGCGCCGCGCCTACGCCATCGCACGGTGATTGCGTCTACGTGAGGAAAACAACCAAGACCGTGCCATGCACGCTTTTTAAAGCTTCCAATTCAACTAATCGGTTGGCCAAACACCCAAACCATCTTTGCTATATCTAAGAGGGTATATTAGGCTACAAAAACCAGCCATAATACAACACCGCTCCTTAACCCAATTTCCCTACAAAAATTACCAAGCATAGCTTTGTCAATCTATTTTCAGACTTAAGAAATTGACTGTCTTGAGTTGGATTTGCGTCAAATTCGATTTCCAAGCTATTAGATACGTTAGCTAGTGATATCATTTTTCGTCCGCAGGTATTTCATCGTCATCTACAAAATTTATACTTCAAACTTGATTCAAGTATCACATACATATTCTATAGCATTTTTGTTTAATAAAAATTAGTTTTAAACCCTAAGTGATATAACATGACTATGGAATTAACTTTCGTTATGCATTTCCGTTGATCGTTTTGAGTCACGAAACTTGATCTACACTCTATATTACATGCATTAACACATAAACATGATGCTCATGATATATTTTAGCAAATGATTTACAGTGTAACACTGAGGGTGTTACATTTGTTGGAGCATCTCTCCCAATACCTAAAAAGTAATATTGGGTCATCCTATTATCATGTTAGTGGGGGAGATGTAGAGAACCGCTGAGATGCTCTAATCAACGCATTATCGATACATACATGGAAAGAACATTTTCAGGTGTGTTTGGTTCTCTGGCTATCTCATGACCAGGCTTTCTGGAGCCAACTTGAGTCTGTTTGGTTGGTTGAACAAGCCTTTTAGCTAGGCTCTAGCAAACCACCCAAGGGGTCTTAGCCTGGCCCCAGAAAACGCAGGAAAAGTGTTTTTCTAGAGCCAGGCCTTGGATAGCGCTCGGGTGAGTTCGCTCACCTCTCCATTCGATAGCCACCACCGCTCGGGACCGGTGGTGCTCAAGAAGGGGCCATGAACGGCAGCAGAGGACGCCATGCTCATGGACCATGGCGAGGGGAACTAGAATCCAGTGAGGATGACCGGCCTGCTTCGCTGCGGCAAGAGCTACCGCTTGCGCTGGACCAACCACCTCCGCCCCAACCTCAAGAAGGGCTCCTTCTCCCCCAACGAGGGCTCCTCATCGCCTAGCTCCACGCACAGCTCGGCAACAAGTGGGCGCGCATGGGCGTGCATGTAAGCATTGTACTCTCTTTGCCTTGAATAATTTATTTATGGCGAGTGGCGGCTTGTTGATGTGACTTGATGCTTCGTGTTTCGTTCCTGTGCTGGTTGGTGCGCATCCGCAGCTGCCGGGGAGGTCGGACAACGAGATCAAGAACTACTGGAACACGAGGACCAAGCACCGCCAGCGCGCCGGCCTGCCTGTGTACCCGCCGGAGGTGTAGCTCCACCTCGCCCTCTCCAAGCGCTGCCGCTACGATGACTTTTCGCCGCAGGAGTCCTCACAGCTGTCGGTGACGACCAATGTCCAGGAGCTGGAGCCCTTCTCGGTGCCGTTGTCCCCGTGGGCGAAGCTGTTCACTCGGAACGCGCAATACTTCCAGCTCGCACACTCATCGGCCGTGTCCCCGTCGACACCGACCGGCCCGATGCACCCGGCCATGCGGGACCTTTCCCTCGGCTATGGCGTGCGCGGCGCCGCCGACTAGAGTAGGCTGCCGCCGCTCTAGCCATCCCCTGGCCCCAGAGTGGAGCTCCCTTCAAACCAATACGGCCAGCCGACGCCGCCATCCCGTGTGCCGTGCTCACCAAGGATGCCCATCACGTGTCCGACGAAATGCCTTAGAGGGGTTACCTTACCAATTCGAAGAAGAGACCACTATATTAAAATAAAACCTGGCAACCAAACACAGTCCAGAGCTAGCCATGGGTAACTAAACAATCAGATTAGCTTGGTGGGAGCAAACACACCCTACGTCACATCCCTGTCCCTTGTCAAGCAGCTGTACTTGTACGCGCGCCGGACCGAATTCGGAAAGCGACGTCTGTAGGCCGGATGCTTCTTGGGCCCCTACTCTCACATTTCCATACTCTACTATCCCCGCGCGCTCGAATGCGCACCGCCTAAACAAACCCTCCCACTGCCCTCTCCCCCACTCTTCCCTTTTCACCGCGCCGCACTCCCAAGTCCCAAGTCCCAACAGGCGCAAATGGCGGCGGTCGGAACACTTCCCGGCGCCGCCGCAGTCGCTGGCGCTTCTGTGCCCCAACGCCAACGCCGCGGCGGTGCCCCTTCTTTCGTAGCCGCCTACGTTCCCGAGGGCACCCGCCTCGTCTGCGAGAGGCAGCTCCGTCCGGCTCCGGTCCTCGCCTGTTCCTCCATCCCCCCGTCTCGTCCAGCGAGGCGGCGGTTCCTCTCCGCTGCTGCGGCCGCAGCCTCCTCGGGTTCCGCTGGGTTAGTGCATCCCTTTCTTTCCAGCCGTCTCAGCGCCCCGTACCTTGCATTTGTCCAAGCAACGACAGTCTGGGGCTTTGGGGGGTCTGCTATAGTGTATTCGTTGAAGCTTCTAGAAGCAGAGGTTTAGATCTTGACCACTTAGCCTTCTTCAGCTGAACGGAGCTGTGATATCTGGATAGAGCAATATTACACCACTATGATGTGGTAGCCCACTTTGATTCCAACTTCTAGGCTTGTATTAAAAGCCTAGGTTTAACCTTATGTATATTTTATTTAGCAACCCCACTGAGTGCAGTTCGCTTGATTATGGCTGCAGTGATGCGTAGTGCGTACCCTTTGTTTCAGTGGTGGAGTACAATTGGGGCTGTGCCATTGCACCTCCAATGTTTCGTGTAAATACAAAGAAGCCCTTTGAGTATTGGATGCAGCTCTCAAAATTGGAGCTACCATGTAGTAATTTACCACTTTAACTTATGAAATCTAAGAGTGATCCTACGCTATTTTATATAACCGGCAATTCATAGACTAAGCACCCTCGACGATTTATTGCAATTTACATCTCAATTTTCTAATATATGAGTTCCTTGACTTTTGACTTTTGATCTGAGATTAAGTTCCCATTGTGAAATTCAAAATGATCCATAGTATGTTGTGAGTTTTAACCTTTGGTGACGCCTGGAGCACACAGCGCTGCAGCTAAGAAAATCATTTTGTTGGTCATTAGTAACATGAATTTTCTATTACAGAGAAGCAGAGCCCCAGGGATTTGCAGAGAGATACCCAACCCTTGTCACAGGTTTCTTCTTCTTCTTGTGGTATGTTCACTTACCTGTATTGCCAATCTAGCTTCATGAAACTACGCAAAAAAAAAAAAATCCTTTGGATAGTAGTTTTAATTGTCACCTTGTGATCAAACCTTGCAGGTATTTTCTGAATGTAATATTTAACATCCTCAACAAGAAGATCTTCGACTACTTCCCCTATCCATAGTATGTTTCCTGGATAAGTGTGCATTCTGTCTTTCATGCTGGCACCATTTGCAATAACATATAAAACTTGTACCTATTGTTGTAGTTTGTATCAGTGAGCCATCTTTTTATTGGAGTACTATACTGCCTCATTGGCTGGAGCTTCGGTATCCCAAAGCGCGCGGTATAGTTGACACCTCCATACTCTTTTTCATTTTTGATAGATAACCGCCTCTCTAACTCACAGTTAAGGGTTTTCAGTGACATTTATGAGCAGGGTGTGCGTGCAAACTAAATTGTTTATTCGCTAAAGGAAAATGTTTAATGTTGGATCATATTGCATAGTGAGGTGCATATATAGTGCTTCTGATTTGACAATGTTTCTATTGGATGGATTATACACTGAGAAGAATTAGCAAATGATGCTAAATTATGCAGAATATATATTCTCCAGTGTTTTCGAAATGTTCTTGTATCTATTAAGCACCAGTTGTTTTTTCTACATAGTTTTTTTATATATTTCAGTGACATCTTTTTTCTGGAAGGAACTGATAAACTAATACAAATTGTACTTCTGTAGCCAATCAACTCAACAATTCTGAAGCAGCTTGTTCCAGTTGCGGTTTGCCATGCCATTGGCCATGTAACAAGTACTGTGTCATTTGCTGCTGTAGCTGTGTCATTTGCCCACACTATTAAAGGTGCTTCTATGATAAGCTGATTTTATTTCTATTATTATCCCTCTACCTCTTGTTTTCTTGTGCTAATATGTTTCCAGTTTTACAAATTACAACACAGCTCTCGAGCCATTCTTCAATGCGGCTGCTTCTCAGTTTATCCTTGGACAACCAGTTCCATTGACACTCTGGCTATCTCTTGTTCCAGTCGTGGTTGGTATGTCTTATTCCAGATTTTTCTTTAGTTGTGGTGCTAGCTGTATAAACTTGCACTTGTGATATGCTGCAACATCAATGCTACGGTATTCAAGACAAGGTTCAACTTGGTATTTTTTGTAGCTCTTTGGTTCAGGGGGGTGATGATGTACATGTTGTAGAACAGAAGATAATACTTGTGGGTGATGTGCCAATGCTGCATAGTTCTTATTTAGGGGTGGAGGATAGGTTCAGGTCACCTGCTAAAATGTCATTTATTTTGGTGGAGTAGGTTCGTATTAGCCTCTGCAAAACAAGCAAGGGTAAGGCTGCCTAGAAATTCCCTTTCTTAGACCCCACCTTTTGTGGGAGATGTTAGCACCAGGTAGTCTCTTTAGTTATATAGGGTTTGTTTGGTTCCTTGCATTAGCATGTATCAAGGTTTGTGCAGTGTAGTTTAACTGTGTTTGGTTGCCCACAGAGGCACAAAGGCTCTTATAGGTTTGCACAGTGCTCAAAGCAAGTCCAATGCAGCGTTAGATAGTATGCCAAATTTGGTCGTATTGCCGTATTAGGCAATGTAGATTTGCACAAGCTGATGGGGCACACAAATCTTCCTCGCCCACCTCTATCAGAACTGGAGGTGACTACATGTAACACAGTATAAGTAAACACTGTAACAACCCAAAAATCCATACACCAAAAATACCAACTACAAAATTTTTTCCTCAAGAATCCCATGTGATGATGAGTGTCATGCATAGAAACCCAACCTAAGAGATGCATTAAGTCTAACCCAACCCCAGTCAACATATAAGCATGGCATGTCATTAGATAATTGTGTTTATTAATTTCTAACAAATATAATGTTGCATACCTCGTTAATTCAAAATGTGATTTGGATTTCCATTTGAGTTATGATTTGCTAAACAACTCCAATAAAATAATAAACCATAAAGATATTATTAAACAAAATTCTCTAAACTCCAATGAATAAGTTACCTCAGTTTTGAATTCAAATTCTAAACCAAATTTGAATCCAAACAATGGAAAAGAAATGTAAAACAGAAAAAGGAAAAGAAGAAGTGGGCCTCGCAGCCGGCTGGCCCAACTCGCGTGCAACAGCCCAGCTCGTGGCCCAGCGCGTTGCTCACCTGCACGCCCTTCTTCTTCGCCTGCAGTCGCTGCCCGCTGGACCTCGCGTGTCAGCCGCACACTCGTCTACTGTGTCGTCTTCCTCACCCACGCCTCAACCCCCTACGCGACCGGTGCCCGACAGTGGTGGCAGGGCGGGCCAGGGGTCACGCCTAGGGCATGGCCTTGTCTCCTTGGCGCCGCACCCACACAACCCTTGCGCCGCGCCTACGCCACCGCACGTGAGCCATTGGATGCCACTGATCACACCTCCACCGCTCGATCACCGTCCGCCATTGGAGCTCGGAGCTCGGCTATAAAGCCGCGGCCCTCGGTTGCCCTAGCGCTCTCCTGTGCCCCGCCGCCACCTTGTGGCCGTCCACAGCACATCCTAGCCAAGAGAGAAGAGGGAGGAGAGGAAGAAGGGGGGGGGAAAGGAAATACCGGAGCCGTTGCCGGGAGGAAGACCGGGAGATCACCGGATCCGGAGCGGGCGACACTGCACGGCACGGCTTTCGAAGCTACACGGCCTCGACTCTTCACTGCACTGCTATCCTCTCACCCTCAACACCTACGGTGAGCCTTCCGGCCTCTCCCTGCTCGTCGCCGGACCTTACCATGTCGGCCATGGCGCTCCACATCATGAGCACGTAGGCTAAGGCCATCTCCGGCCACTAGGTACACACGCACGGCACACTCACGCGCACACCGCGACCACCTCCGAGCCCTTGGACGTTGTAGACCCCTCCAAGCCCCACGGACGCCAAGGCAGAGCACTCAACGCCGTCGTCGTGGCGTGGCCACCACCGGCCAAAGCACCAGACCACTGGCCAGAGCACCAGACCACCGGCCAGAGCACCAGACCACCGTGGCCACCACCGGCCAGAGCACCAGACCATAGGCCAGAGCACCACCACCACCGGCCTGAGCACCAGACCACCGTGGCTAGGTCCGTTGGGAGCACCTGGCGTCTCCTTGTCTTGCCCATCCTATTCGCTGGAGCCACGGGTAACTCACGCGCACGCCGTGACCACCCCGCTGGGGCCCCGTAGTGCACCCATGCGCCTCGCCGTCGTCACCATGTCGCCGTGGCCGCCGGGAAACCCCTACCGGCCTCATGAGAATCCGAGCCCCGCCTTGAGCACTGGACGCCCTCGCCATGCTCCCACGGAACCGTTGAAGCCTTTACCCGCCCAGCCTAGACACCAGGAAGCCTGCACAGGCGACTTCACTGTCGGTGGGCACCGCCGAACCGCCAACCACCGTGGCCAGGGTCCTAGGGAGTCCTAGCCGTCGCCCTGACACCACCATCGTAGTCACCAAAGCCTGACGGTGCTTTTCCCCACGCCAATTGGGCGCTAGCACCGCTGCGGAAGCTCGCCGGTTAGTATGTCGCCGGCGGGAGCGCGCCATGGAAGAAACAGAGGAGGAGGGGCGAGTTGAGCAGCGCAGCCTTGCACCCGGTGCACAAGAGCCAAGCCAAGGGAAATAATAGTGGACTTGGTCCACCAGGGACCCTGCCTTAGGTCCATGGACCAGCACCACCTGGTCCATCGTGAGCCACCCCCACGCCTGCGAGCTGTGGACAAAGCCCAGTAGAGGCCCACGGCCGTGACGTGGCAACGCCACAGCTTGCCACGTGTCCGACCCGGCCCAGCCCAGACCGGCCCAACTCGAGGGCCGTCGGAGCCCGTTTGAGACCCAGTCCGTGTTGACCGTTAACTGGTCAACATTGACCGTTGACCTGGCCCCACATGTCAGTGGCACAGACACTCTAGACCCACACGTCAGATGGTGACATCATGCTGACGTCAGCTGGACCCCACTTGTCAGCTCGGAACCATGATGCTGACGTCAGCAAGCCACGTGGACCAACCCTAACATGACACGTGTCAGCCCAGGATTAATTCAACCTTTTTTATTTTCAAAAATGGATTAAATCTTCGGAAATTCATAACTAATTCATATGACCGCAGAAAAATATGAAACCAGGACCAAAATTCATCTAAAATCGAGCTCTACGCAATGGACCCATGCTTGAGTGCATTTTGCTCTTTTGAATTTTCATTGCTTCTTTGTGCTATTCTATAGACGTCGTTAACACGACTATAATGCGGTCGTTTGTAGACTCGGAGGAGAACCGGACGGACGAGGATCGTGAGTACCGTGAGGAGTACGGAGACGACTACACTGAAGGTGCCACATCCCACCCAATCTCGTAGCACCTATTACGCATGGCTAATATAGAAATGCTAGTGCTCACTTTATTGTCATGATCACATTATGGTAGGACTTGCATGGTAGTATGTTTTCTTGATGGCCTTTACCTTGACGCAACCTTACCCCTGCTCACCCTGCTGTTAGGCTAGTTACACACTTGCTATTACATTTCATTGCTTGTTACTTCTACTACGCTTGCACTACATTGATGCGTGGTGGAAACTGGTGTTATCTGGACTATGGGGAGAGTGCTGCGTGTGTGACTTGGGTGCGTGGAGGGTGAGGGTTGTGTCGACCAAGTTGGAGTATCTGACAGAGCCCGAGGCAAGTCTTGCAGTAGGGTGCTACAGGCACCCCTGGAATGGATACCTATGGTGGGTAAGCGTATATGAGGTGACCACAGGTGTGATCTGTGATGGGAGGAGCCTAGGGTGGAGGTCTTGTGGTGGCACGGTAAATGGAAACCCTGATGAAGACATTCTGGCTTGGTCATCCCTAAGGACTTACTAGTACTCAGACTCACCGGGAAGCCTTACGTACCACTCGCCCTATATGGTGCGGGACGACCGGACTACTTGGTAGGATATTGCCACTACTGCTAGGTTGATAGCGGACAGTGTGAGGGAGGTACGGGGTGCGGAGGATTCCCCCCACACCCTTCCAAGACTTCATGGAGACCTTGTGGACCCGGCTCATGACTCACAGTTTGACCACCCAGTGGACTTGGGGTGTACCAGAGTGAATGGTAGAGTGGTATTATCCTAGGCTAGCAAGCGGCGGAATCGGCCAGATTGACGATGGTCAGTGAGGAAGGCGGATCTTGTGGTTATGTAAAACCTCTGCAGAGTGTATGGTTGATCGATCGATACATATGCTGACTTGTCAGCTATGGACCTTTCCTGGGTTTCGCTTAAACTAGATAGAGAGATGAGTCCTTCTCTTCTCCCCCTGGAATGAGTGTTCGGACGTAGCCAGGGGCTACGGGCCTTGAGACAGTGCCGAGAGGGAGTTGGCCTGTCGACTGAGCGATGGTATGGGTGTGGTATGGTGATGGTGTGGAGATGGTGGTACATCGATCCTAGGATCAAAACCTGGCTCGGGAATGGGAAATGGGGTGGAATGTGTGAGAACGGTGTTAAAACTTGACCAACTATTATTATTATGTACTTGATATGCTAATACATAGAAAACCCCAGCCTTATAGGTTCCTTTTAATTATATCCAACTTGCATCCGATTTCCACAAAGTAATGCTCATAAGGTTGGGAGTGGCCAGTACAAAACGTACTGATAAATTTTGGCACACAGTGTTCTCACTTTGAGGAGTATAGCTCGAGGAGTTTGTGGTTGAGGGTTCGTGCCTACGCCGAGTTTGGCGATCTTATCTTCAAGCTGTTCTGAATGAATGCTACTTTTGATTCCGCCAATGTGGCGATGTAATAATTTATGTATTCCGCACTATTTTTACTCTGATATTATCGTTGTATGGATGTGATATTTGACTGGAATTTGGGTAATATGATCTACAACGGTCTTATTACACTTCGACTCTGTGGATTTTCCTTTGTGGAAATCGGGGTTGTTTCACCTCCGGACTCGTCGCCATGGCCCGGCGAGGGGCTCACCTTCGTCGTCGCGCCGTCCCACGACGAGTCGCCCCCCAATAGCTACGGCGGCTACCTCGGCCTCACCAACGCCATGCTCGAGGCCAACCCAACCCCAGCGAGGAACCGCTTCGTGGCCGTCGAGTTCGACACCACGAAGCTGGACTACGATCCCAACGACAACCACGTCGGCCTCAACGTTGGCTCTGTCGTGTCCGTCAAGACGGTGAACCTGACGGCGTTCCGCATCACCACGAACAGCAGCAACCCCACCAACTACACGCAGGTCGAGTACGGCAGCGGCGGCGCGGCGCACGTGTCCGTGTACATGGGCGTCCGGCGAAGCCGGCCGGCGTCCCGGTCTTTGGACTCCCCATTGGACCTCGCCGAAAGCACGTCCCGGAGAAGGCGTACATCGGCACGCCATTGCGCCTGGCTACGTGTGGACGAGCGACGTCTAGTGGACCGGACCGAGCGACCGCTGCTGCTAGACATCCTGACCGAAGGCCACAACGTTAGCACGGTAGCGCCGACTGACGCATTGGCGCCCTCGCCAAGGTTGCTGTGCCAAGAAGCCATGCAGATCGTCGACTACACACGTACGTCGACTACACAGGGACGCCGCTCGGAGGGATCATGAGAAAAGCACGGCATGATAATTGCCGTGCGTACGTACGTCAAATGATCGAGGCCGGGTCGCTGACCCCGCGCTATGCCATCGCAGGCATCCTCCGCCCGGACACGAAGCTGGCGCGCTTCGTCCACGCCGAGTGCTCTCGCGGCGATTGGGCTGGCTACACGTTTTGCGTTGGCCCACATCAAGACTGAGCCGAGCCCACTCATATTCGTCACTCGTCGGGGACACATGACTGGCGGCGGGGATCAGTCCGCGCGCCGCCCCGCCATTGCCACCACCGCGGCTCCCGACCCAAAAAGCCCGCCCCTAGCACCCATCCTCGTTCATCTCCTGCGCGCCACGCGGCCATTGTCCGCCGGCACCAGTGTGAGTGCCCGCCCCATACACCGCGAGGTGCGCCAATGAGCTCGACCATTGCCACGTACCACCGCGAGCTTCGCCAAAGATCCGTCCGCCACCACAGCGCAGACAAATCGCCCGTCCAGCGCACCCGGCCCGCCACGCCTCCGTGGACACGACGCCGTCCGGAGGTTGCGGACACCACGCAACAAAGAAGACGCGGGTTGTGCGCCGCCCCGTCGCGCAGTTAGCCGACTTCACTCTCCACCTACGGTCTCATGTTGCGCATCACGTCACCGCGACCCACCGCGCATATTTGCATTTCGCCACGCCACGCCACGTCCCCGCGCGCCCTACGGCCCTTGCCGTGAGGTCGCATAACGCGGCCACCCGTCATCATGTTCGCAAGCCACGAGCCCGCGACAAGACCCACCGTGCGCTTTCGCCGCCGCGACCCACCACCGCGCCGCCAGCGTTAGAGCCGTGGACCAGAGCCTCGGTGCCGACGAGTTCGACCACGACGAGGCCGGACGCCTGCTGCTGCTCGCGCTGGCGTGTAGCAGTCCCAACCCGGGTCAAACCAGGCTCACGCGCGGCTCACGTGCGCTCTGTCCCCGCCACGTCGGCAAAAACCTTGATTCGATAAGTTATTGATCTAAGTGGCATACTTAAACAATATTAGGGTGCCAGAAGTACGATTAGAGAGTTTATGGACCTAAGTGACACCACGAGACAAGTTCAAGGGCCTACTATGCATATACCTCCTACCAAAAATTATAAGAACACTGCTGCTAGAAGAGATGGAGTGCAGCGGATTGGTGTACATGTTCCTCAATCAGTGAAGCGGCAGCGGTGCCAAAAAAAGGAAAAAAAGTAAGCGGCTGCAATTCCATTCTCCCGACGTTCTTGTTGGGCCGAGGCCCAGCGCGTGGAGGGCAGGACGGTAACGAACGTGCCTAGAACCTGGTGGGAACTGCGAGCGGAAGCGCGGACGTTCGATCCGTCTCCTGAGCCCTGACACAGTGACACCTGACTGCTCTCTGGCGTCGTTCAGGGTGAGGATCCCGTTCACCGACCGACCGGGCGAGCGCCGCCGCCACCCTACGCCAGGTGCCTGGTGTTCGTCGGCGACTCGTACCCATCAGGTATGCCCACCCTTTTCTCTTCCCTTGCTGCTGTCTGAAACCGAGCATTGAAACCCTAACTTGAGCTATTTATATTCGGATCTGATCTAATTACAAGTGTATACTATTATTGCCTAGTAACTTCGATTTTCTTGCTAAATTATCAGGGTGTAGATGTGTACACCCATATCCTTTACTTCTCTACATCAATTGGCTTCTGTGGGTTGAGCTGTAGTCAGTTAAGCTTCAAATTACTACACTGTCTTGGTGGCTTTTAGGTAAGTAGTAACACTATTTAACTTCCTGACTAAATAAAGCTACGAGATTTGACTGCATCTCCATTTTTTTTTGTTTGTTACTGTTTTTTCATTTATCTTGTTACCTTTAGCAACATAACGTTTCTGTGGACCAATGTGCAAGACAGCAGGAGTCACGACAACAATTATGGATTCCGTGATCTACAAACATGATGACATGTCCCAAGAAAGAACCCTGCCATTTGGAGATGCAGGGAACATGGGAGGAAGCAATGTAGAAATTCTCACAAGAATAGAGCTCGATATTGCTTTTGCCTCAGAGAAATTATTAAATTTGGAGATGCTGGTTATGGAAATAGCACGTCAGGCTACTGACTTTGAGCCTGCTACGCTTGAAGATGAATCTATTTTTTCTGAGACTGCAGAGAATGCTTTTGAACTGGACATCTTGTATGGTATTCTTGATGCTGAAGTCAAGGAGCTACATAACTTGATTAGTTCTCTTCAAGCTGATATCAAAAGTATAGAGCATCAGGACTATGAAGAAGGAGGCAAGGTAAAAGCTAGAATGGATGCAGCTAAATTGTCCTTGAAGCAGATGCAAGAGCTAATTGCTGATATTAGGAACGAGTCTGCAAAGTTTGAGAAAGTCATTGCGTTTTCCCACGATAAGGAAGGTAAATAATCACTTCTCCATAGATTATATTCTGATTACATTTGTCCTTCCCTATTAACTGCATGTGTACAGGGACCATTGAAGCTGTTGGATGTGATAACGGCCATCTGTCATATCAAACTGGTACGCAGACAGAAGATCAACACAGAAATGTTTTACATATGTTAGAAAAATCCATAGCAAGTGAGCTAGATCTTGAAAAGAAGCTATCTGATTCGATATCTGTCATAGAAGACCTCAGACTGAAGCTCCATCATCAGGAAGAGGAAATCTATTTCCTTGAGGAATCAACTGAAACAATTTCAGGTAGATTGTTTGAAGCAGAAAATGCTTCAAAGCTACTTTTCGGAACCTCAAAGGAACTTATAAATAGGCTTAATAACATGCAGTTTCATGTAAGTGCGCTAAAAGGTACAGAAGATGATCTCAAGTCAAAACTAGAACAAAGCTTGACAAAACTGTCTTTTCTGGAAAATAGCCCAGACAAGGTGGAAAAAGAGAGTGACAAAGTTGGAGCTGGATCACCATCATTGCAGGATAAAATACAGGAGTTAGAAAAACAGTTGAATGAATCCAATTTACAACTCCAATTTGCACTAGCTTCAGCAGAAACAAGGCAGGAGGAGCAAAATGCATTGCAATCTGAGCTGATCACAATGGAAAATACAATTAAGAATATCAAAGATGATGTTTCACGAGCAGAAAGCAGAGCACAAAATGCAGAAATAAGGTGTATGCAGCTAACTGTAGCTAATATAGAGCTTAATGGGGAACTAGATGCCCTTAAAAGCGAGAAGTCAGATAAGGCCAATCTTTTGGACAAGAAACTTACAGAGTCAAATACCCAATTAGAGCATGCAAAGGCAGCAGTTGATGCCATTGTTGAACAGCAGGGTATGCTGAAATGTACAATTTCTGATATGGAACATATTATCGAAGATCTGAAGGGCAAAGTTTCAAAAACTGAAACCAGGGCTGAGAGTGCTGAATCAAAGTGCACACTGTTAACAGACACAAATTTAGAACTTAGTGAAGAGCTAGCATTTCTAAGAGGTCGAGTAGAAAGTCTAGAAAACTCGTTACGTGAAGCCAACCATGCGAAGGTGTCCACTGCCAAGGACATCTGTGTGAGAACTAAAATTATTACTGATTTGGTCAGAAAATTGGCACTGGAAAGAGAACGACTTCATCTTCAGGTATATGCACACACATGTTTCCAGGAAAAAAATTACAGTTGTCATTTTTAATTCTTGTTTCTATATACACACCTATATATTGTGTTGCTACTGTTTAGAATCGAAAATAAGTGTACATGATTTGAAATAATTCTTGTGCTGAAGCATTTAACTTCTGTGTGCTGGATGTTGTATGGATTTTATCTTGTGGATTCCTAATTCAGAGGCAAGTCTCTGGCGGATGTAGAAACAATAGGTTCAGTAGGAAGACAAGAATGTTTTTCAGAACTGCATTTGGTAGGCTATGCCATATTTGGACAGGTCTGTGAATATCCGTAGGAGTGTTTGATTCTCTTAGTAGCACTTAGCCAATGATATGGATTCAAGATAAGATTATAGATTACACTAGTGTGACTTGGACATTGGTTGGTAAATGCTGTCCAAGCTGCTGCATGTAAACAACACATGATCTCGAAATTATCAATTTAGTATCACTTCATAAACATTTTGCTGGAGAATCATCAGATGTGGGCTAGTAATGTTATTGTATACCGTGTTTTGAGGGACACTACTTTTGAACACAAGTTTCTGAGTTTATGTTTTACATTAATTTACTTTAGTTAACACAGAGAAAAAATTATATTCTGCCAGGTGTCATAAGCAACATTTATTCAAGTGGTTAAATTGAAAAGTTAACTTTCTAGCAATAGTGTGCCAGTTCTCCATATTCTATTGAATGTGTTCTATTGTATAATTTGTTATGAACTTATGATACATTAAGCACCATATGCCAATACTGTTTTTCGGGCATAGCTCTTTGAAATAGGTTTTGTGATTTAGATTGAATCCATGAGTATGTATTTTGAAACTATTTTGTGTGATTATTCGAATCTTATATTATTGTTGGGGTAATATACTGTTTTGGCTCTTCCTGGTGGTTGTAGATTGCTACGTTAACAAAGAAGAACAAGATGTTGGTTAAAAAATGTAAAGAGGATATTAATGGTAGCATACAAATGAGCAAAAAGGCTACTTCCAATTGCACTGAATTTCAGTCAACTCAAAAAGCTGAGGAAATATGTCCAGATTCTCTGCCATCACAAACTGTGGTAACGTCTTGTCATATGACTCAGTACCTCCTTCCAAGTAGAATACAAGAGATTATAAAGTGTTGTAGCCGTAGTTGTTGGATTGTCAAATTATTTCCATATACCATTGATTGATTTGGTTTGGCCTGGGCTTTGCTTGAGTTTGAGTACAGCTCAAGCAGAGTTGGGCTTTGGCTAACTAGATTATGCTCCCTTAGTACTTTGTCTAGACAAAACCACACAGTTACTTGCAAAATGCTGGTAATTAAATTTATTTCTACCCTTGCTGAAGTATTGGTTTAAATATATACTTACTGCATGTATGAAAATTGAAAAGTTCTTTAACAGTTACTCTGTCGCCAACCAACACATAGGCTTGCTGAACTTTTTCGGTCATATTTTTTTTCCAATGCACGAATCACTGTAGTTCAACAACCTTTTCTTTTTCTTTTTGAGACCTCAGCCACTGCAGTCAGAGTGGTTAATTGTTTTAATTTGTCTACATACACTTGCATGCTTGTTGCCCCATCCATCAGATTTTCTAATGTAAAAACATTAAATATATTCATAGGAATGAGATACTTGTGACTGAGTTTATATGTAGACTTGACTTTCTATAACACGTGCATCTTGGATCCCTGTTGCTAAGAAACTCTTTGCACATTTGAATTCGTTGCATGTGCTTCTGCACTTAGCCGGATTTTGGAATTATTTAAACTCTTCGCACATTTGAACACAACTTTTTTATATGTGTATGTAGGTGGAGAAACCATCAGATCCTATTGATAATGATGAAGTTAAGACTCAGAGTCCATCACAGGATGTTTCCACTTGGGAGGATGATTCCACATCGGATGACATTCATGAGACAGTGCGCACCATAGAGCCATCACTACTAAACCGGAAATATACTTTTGTGGCACTTCTAGTGTTGTTGGCTGCTTGCGTTGTGTTCTTGTTACATGAATATGGCGGCCCTGCATGATAGTCTAATTTTGCTGATGCAGTCAACACTATCACCTAAACATTTAGGTCGTCCGTGTACAACTATTTAGTATTTACATATCATCTTTGCTCCCACTTTGTCTATCAGTTGAGCAATTTTGTGTATTGTATTGTAGATTTGTGCTAGACTGCTCGTGCCTTCAACTTCGACCTGAGTTCTGTGATGATGCTCATCACAGTGTCATTTTTACTGTTTCTTTGTGGAGGAAATACTGTCAGATCACGAGAAATATGTTTTAACTGTTTACTTGTCAGAGTGAAAGAATATGCATCAGTCACTCTCCTTGTGGACTATTTACTGTTAGTACTAATGGATTTTACTGGAACAGTGTTGATTATTTTCAACGCCCCAAATTTATGCTATCAAAATTCAAACACGCCCTATATTCCATTGTAGAAGGCATTTTCGTTGTCCGAATTGAATCGCACCCATGATGGTCTGGCCCTGAAGCACAGTTTTAAGCCCTGCTGTGGTGGAAGTACGTGTCTACGAACGCTTGATAGCCCTAAAATAGTAAATACTATAAACAAAATTGCGGTTATGCAAAGCTCGTTGAAAAAAGTCCACTATTGTTATTGTCTTGAAAAGTTTAGTGTGTTTTTGTGAGATTTAGAGCAACTCTAAGAAACTCTCTATATCCTTCCTAAATGCTAAAAATAGAGATTTTTATGAAAAACTACCCTTCAACAGCTTCTCTAAATGATTATCCAAATATAGCTATTTTCTATTCTGTATTTTTTGTTAGCCAAAAATAGAAGATGAGAATAACTCTATAGTACGCACGGGATATAGAAGAACGGTTGGACAGTGGAAATATATAGAAAATGATTTTTATACAAGTGACTCTCCAAATAATGATTTAGAGAGTGAGATTTATAGAAAGACAACTGGAGATGCTCTTATCCTATAGATTTTTATCTTATCTATATATATATATATATATATATATATATATATATATATATATATATATATATATATATATATATATATATTCTCGGCACTGCCATGGATGAAGGAAAATACAAGGTGAAATGAGCTCCCTAGACTGCGGAAATGCTAAGTTCAATTTTTTTTTAAATAACGCAGCTAGGTCACTGAAATGTTGAGTTCAAGTAGAAATTGAGAAAATGGCGAATCTGCCATTATGAAAAGTGGGCTTCGCACTTTTGTCATCCCGCAAATAGGATTCACCCGTTTGCCATTATCAAACGAGGCACACTCGCTGTCGACACGAAAATGTCAACACACAGCAAGACGGAAGGATCGACCCTGCAAATTCCTCCCGAGGCATGCCAGTCAATTTGACCTGCAATTGATAAGGAGAGAAAGTTTATCAGTAATTTAAGATGAAACATGCCGGTTTTTACCCGACAGTTCCAAGTATGCCGCTTAGGGAGCAGCCAGTGTTAGCCCACTGGATCACGGAGATATCCGACAACTCACTAATGTTGCCGAGCACGCACTAGTGATGCCGACCACGAACCATCATTATTTTACCTCCAGTCATAGTGTATGGTCGGACAACATTAGTGGTGACCGACAACGCTTGTGAGTGCTCGGCGATCCAGTGGGCTGACAGCCAACCGAGAAAATCGATCAAATAAACCGATATGAGAAGAAAATCGGCTGCTAAGAACTGTAACGCTCGCGGGTTGTGACTGATTTTATAATGACAATTGCGATGTACCCAGTTTTAATGATTCTTTCCCTTGAGCTATTAACATGTATGTGTCAGAGATACATCACTGGCTAAATTAGATTCGATCAATATGTAGTGTAAAACCAATGAATTTAATAAGAAAAAGGGATATGCCACGCACACAATCAACTGTTTGATACAGACAGACCCACAAACCATCTAGACCTAATCCATTACCATCAACAGTGAGGTTCGATCGGATCGATGCAGCTATGATGATAACAACAAACTAAATCCAAAGAATTCATAGAATCGACTATACTTCAACTGGTTCATGAGAGCGTGTCATATTTGTGAAAGCGCAGACGAATCGGCTAAAAGAGCCGATTCGGGTAGAAAAATGATTATAGCATGTGAACAATAGACTATTCAACACGAGCAGACCTATCAACTCCTCAAATTTAACCTATCATCTTTAACAGTGGGGTTCGATCGGATCGATGCAGCCATAATAAAGATAACAGATTATATCCTTAAAGAAAACATATCTACTCATATTTAACAGAATTATGAAAACACACTATGAACGTTGAAATACGGGCGATCGGCTATTTAGCTGATGTAGGCATAGCAAACAGCCAGGGTCAGGCCTGGTCAAAAGCAAACCTATCAACTAGCATCCTCCGATCTAGAGTACTAACAGTGGGGGTCGACCGGATCGATGCAGCCGTGATAGCGAGCTATAGACCAAATTCAACTAACTAGTAAACGTCCTCAAGATCAGACATGCCCTGACCGCGCACTATGTACGATCAAGATTGAAGTAGAACAGCCGGTGAAACATAACTCATCGTTTAAAGTAAGGACCATTGCAATGTAACAGAATAAACGAGGAGTTAAAAGAATGTGAGGCTGATCTAGATCGATCTCGATCGGGCAGGTTGATGTGGCTGAAAAACTAATAACAATAAGAACATCAGCAAGATCGGTAACTTAGGCCTCGTTCGCTTCGCTGAAAAAACAAGCCGAAACACTGTTCCGACTGATTTGTTATGAGAGAAAAACACTATTCTAGCTGAAAAAACAAGCTGAAAAATATGGATTATAAGACAAGCGAACAGGTCCTTTATGAATCTACCCGAAGGACGCCACCCTTAGGTAGAGCCGATAACTTGACCTTAATCTAATTCGAGCAGTGGAGGTCAACCGGATCGATGCAGCCATACTTGAACTAGATAAGATCGATAACTAGCTTATGAGTTCGTAGTGGAGGTCAAACCTAACCAATGCAGCCATATAAACAGAAGTATAAGCCATGACGGTACTTACAGACAAGCCGGAGGTCGGTCGGACCGATGCAGCCCTGCTTGTTGAAGAACTTGTCGGAATCTACTCTACTCCTACTCCTAAGGGTTGGCACGGAGCTAAAAAAGGAAGTAACTTGTATTGGTTGATTGGATGTCCTTTTACAATAGCCGGGGTTCAATATTTATACCCGGAGCTTAAGCATGAATCCTACTCAAGTACGACTCATTACAATATTTGGTATAAAGAAAATATTCCTAACTTAAAGATAACTTGGACCCTAATCTTTCCTTTTTTGTAGAGTCGACATGTATTTGCCGACGTCAACCGTAGCTCATTGTCGTTATCTGTCGACGTCATTCGAAGAGAGACGATTCTAACGCCGTATCTGAATCAGCTGATATCGATCCTCATTCAATCGATTCCTTGATTGACACAATCTTAGAAGCTTTGAGTTCCCGCGTTCTTCTTCCCAAATTTTAGTGTAAACACATGCCCCTCAATTTTGGGATAAAAATGATTTTATTCCAAAATTCTTATTTACCTGCTTACCACGTCGCAACCATTTTATTCCGAGATATACGTGTGACTCCTGATTTCTTGGTCCGAGTCTTATATAATACTCCAACAGTATCTTTTTCAAGTTACTCGGCCTATTTACTCTCCTCTTTTTTCTCGAGCAAATCTTAACAGCCGACGTCGTCATCGCCAAAGCCTCAACCCTAGCAAATCCTTTGCCCTGTCAATCTTTTACTCAAGCGATCTTTCTCAGATTCAAATCTATTTCGGCCGCAATGGCGACCAGCGACCACGTCCCCGAGGTATGCTTTCAAGTTCTCACTCTCCAACTATCGGCCGCTACCCTGCATTTCCCTTTTCTTCTCAAATTTATTATATCTGATTTCTAGGAAATGAGAAACGAAATCTTGATTTCATCGGCTGTTGCCCCCAATGTTTATTTTCTTAGGCCTATGGGTGACCCTGATCCATCTGATTTTATCCATCAAGAAGCCAACCCAATCCCCTTTAAACAATCTGTAGTGGATTCGTCCTCCTAGAACACCAAAACTTCCTTCCAAACTGACCCAAAATGCCTAGGGGATGGAGAAACTGGTTTCGTAGGGTATCTGAGAAAAAGGCTAGAGATTGGGAGCTTTATGATTTGAATCAATGCTTGATACTCTCGTTGTCTGGGATGGAGAGGAATGATTCACTTTTGACTTCTGCATCTTATTTCTAGTCCAACACCCTAAATGCCTTTGTTTTTTGTCATGGCCCAATGACCATCACTTTGGCCGATGTTTATATGCTGATCGGCCTTAGAATAACAAGATCGATGCAGCCTTATGACTTCTTAAGTGCTGGATCTAAGAAATTAGCCAAAATATCAGACTGCACAGGATGTGCAAGCTATATTCTGAACCATATTGGAGATGAATCAACTGTTAGCGAAAGAGAATATGTGGCCTTTCTGAACATGTGGTTAGAGAGATTCATCTTCTGTGGGTCATCTTATGGTCCAACTTACAATCACAAGCTTATGGCAGAGCATCTGGCAGTAGGCAAGGATATTCCTCTTGGAAAGTATCTATTATGAGCTGCTTATCATCTGATGCACTAGGTAGCTGTCCAGTTACTAAAGAATGAACCAATGCATACTATTAGTGGCCCTTGGTGGTTGATACAACTATTGCTGAACCTATATATGCACAAGATTGTAAGGCATGATCTCAGGAACCTGAGCTTTCTTTCCTCCAACTTTGATGAGGAATATAGAGGCGAAGAAGGAAGGACCCGTCAGTGCATGAGCTATGGTGAAGCTGCATCGGCCATAACAATTGCTGTCGATTTTGGCCATCTCTTCAAAAAGCTTTATAGAGGGTTTGATGCAAATATCCTGACTTGGCTACCCTATGATAAGGATGAGAACAATGAGCTGATCTTCCCATTCAAATTTTGATTTGAATCAGGCTGTTCAGACAAAACGACGGTTGCAATTTTCAATTCCTTCATCAAGCCCTGTGTCCTTCTA